TATGTGCTCTCTTAATTTCCTTTCAACTTAAATAATTAAATTCCTTTTCTGCTTGCAAATAAGCCAATTCTTTTTTGAGCTCATCTCTTTATTGCTGTAAATTACCAAATGCAGCCAATAGTAACTAATTCACCCTGCAAGCATTCCGTTTTTCCCAAAAATCTTCCCAAAAGGAAAACTATAGGCCCATTTGGGGTTAAATTTCAACATGTGTTTTGAAGGGGACAATATTCAAACCATAGCACTTGGTTTTTCTTGGAGAAGAAAAACAAGCTAGGAAGACTTAGTCTATGATATCAAGGTTAATAAAATATACTAATTAATATAGTAAGATACTGATGCAAGGGTGGGCAAGAAGACAAGCAGAACAAAACAGCCAGCCAGAAATAGCTGTATACACATTGTTTCAGTCAGTTCAGACGGCTGTAACAAAGTACCACAGGCTTTGGAGGCTGGAAATTTAAAATCAGTGCCAGCTTGGTGGGGCACTCTTCCAGGCGAGGGCCTCTCCTGGTGAGGGCTCTCTTGCAGGTTGCAGTCGCCAGCTTCTCACATGAGGAAAGAAGCTCTCTAGCTCTCGGGCCCCTGCTTTATTTTTTATTATTATTTTTATTTTTTTGTAGAGACAGGATCTTGCTATGTTGCCTAGGCTTGTCTAGAACTCTTGGCTCCAGTGATCCTTCCACCTCAACCTCCCAAAGCACTAAGATTATATAAGCATGAGCCACCATGCCCAGCTTTGGCCTCTTCTTATAAGGGCACTAATCCCATTATTTCATGAGGGCTTCATGCCCATGACCTAATTACTTTCCAAAGGCCCCACCTCCAAATACCATCGCACTGGGAATAGGGTTCCAACACAGGAGTTTTGAGGGAACACAAACATTCAGTCCATTGCACATATACAGATGCTTGATAAATGATGGAGATGGCATGGTGAAGCAGTAGGGCCAAGGACTGTCTTTTCGATAAATGGTAGCAGGACAATCAAATATCTGTGAGAACAAAATGAAGTTATATTTCTAGCTGGTACTAAACCAAAAAGTCAACTTCAAATAGATTATAAACCTAAATGTAAGAATAAAAACTGAAAAGCTTTTAGAGGATTATATAGGAGAAAATCTCATGATCTCAGGATAAAGAAGAATTTCCTAAGAAACAGAAAAGCACTACATTAATGTTTGTTGAAGATGATGAACTGAGTTATAAAATGTCATTGAAGTAAAAGGTTAGAGGTGTACACCCAAATGAAATGAAATTCCACAAAATAGAAAAGAAGTCATCAAAATAGCAAGAGACAGCCAGAAATAAAGAAAATTAGTGTCATTTACAGTAGTTGTCTCTATAAAGCTGTCGTGAACACTGCGCTAGCAAATACTGAAGCACTGATCTTAGGGGAAATATAGGGCTAAGTTCCTGGTAAGCCTCTGGTCACAACATGTTCATCAACCAATCAATATATAACTTGTTTTATAAGTGTTTCTGCTTAATGATACTTTACTTAATATACTCATGGCAACAGCACTGTAACTCATGACTGAACACATGCTTTCTCCATAAGACACATCACAGCCTTCAACCATTTAAGAACACTAAAAGCACTTCAGTACTACACTTGGGGGCCACTTAAACAGTGAAATCACCAACAAAAAGCACAAAGAGGTTAAAAAAACAAAACAAACAAACAAAAAAAAACAGCGCTAAATCAACCACAGAAAGACAACTGTTCATAGTATGAGAACTGAAGTAAGAAGACAATGTTGCCTTGTTCAACCTCAACTGGGAATGGATCATCAGGTGACTCAAATTTTGAACCGTTATGCACATGTCCACAAATGACCATGCAAGTCCTGAGTATTGATTTTGGAGTTACAAATAAATTTTAGTGAGTAGGTAAATTCGTAAACACAGAATCCTTGAATGAGGCTCAACTGAATATATATACAGTAGTCCCCCCTCCCCCAGGATTTTGCTTTCCATGATTTCAGTTACCTGGGATCAACCATGGTACAAAAATGTTAAACAGAAAATCTAAGAAATACACAATTCGTAAATTTTAAATTGTCATTCCAAGTAGCATAATGAAATTTCTCACCATCTTGCTCCATCCTGCCTAGGGCATGAATCACCTCTTTGTCCAGTATATCCATGCTGCATATGCGACCCATCTATTACTGTCCAGAAAAAAACACTGTGTACATAGGGTTCAGCACTATCCACAATTTCAGGCATCCCCTGGGGATTCTGGAATGTATCCCTTAAGGATAAGGGAGGACTACTGTATTCAGTCCTGTGAGGCCTGGACTGTGAGAGAACATACATTTTCAGTTAAGTCAGCAAAGGAATCAGGGTCGTCAGAAAAGCAACATGTGATGCTCTGAACAAAATGGGCAAGATGGTACTGGAGGGGCACAGTGCCTGAATGGGCTTACATTTTGAGGAAAAACCAAAGATGACAGGATGAAAGAACTCTGTACAATTAACTGACTCCAAAATTCCAAATGAAATCCTAGTAAAAGTTATTTCAATGGTTTTTATGCTCTGACATATTTGTCTGCCATGGCATCATAGCATACTGATTAGGTCTGGATATGAAGATGTGTCAGGCACGCTCAAACATCAGTGTACTCCAGACTGTTACTTCCTTAAGAAATGAGTGTGGGCTAATATTTAACAGTGTACCCCAGACTGTTACTTCCTAGAAATGACCACGAAAGTCATTGTTTATAATGCGGTATTTAAAATGGGACTGGAGAACTAGAAACAATCTATGTCCATCAGCAAGAAACCTGTTAAACTATGTTCTATCCAAAAAAAATAGATTTTTATTATAAAAGCAGTAGCATTTTTGAAATATTTTCTAATTTATGTAGCCAATTCCCACCCCTACCTCTACCTTACCCCTTTAAACTTAACCAGCCATCATCAAAGAGTGTTAAGAGAAGGTGGGATCCTATAATAACATAGATATAAAAGTAAGCACTGTCAAAAATAAAATATTTCTTTTAGCTGCCATTTAACAATCAAGCTACAGAGTTCTTCCTGTAGAGTGAAGAAGATATCCTGCCTTCTATTAAAACTTCTCCCTAAAACTAACGTTGGGAAGGACTTAATAGATGTGGGGAAGGCGAGAGATATGACAGAAAACTGGAGAGGCAGATATCATATAAGACTTCATAAGGAATAGTAGATAATTTGGATTTTACCACAACTGCAATTAGATACTGTCAACAAGCTTTAGATGAAGAAAAAGCAACATGATCTCATTTATTTTTTTTTTCAAAGTCTACTCTGATGCAGTGTGGAGAAATGATTGGAAGGAGGTAAAAGAAAACGTAGAGAGACAAGTAACTACACACTATTGCTTTAGTCCAGGTGAGAAATGATGGTGGCTTAAACTAGGATGACTAGAATGGCAATGGAGTTTGAAAAAGGATGAATTACAGACACATTTTAAAGCAGATAATCCTTTAAAATGCTAAAATTGAGGTATTACAGTGACAATATTAAGATTATTTTTCCCCTCATGGTATTTCCCAAGTTTTTGTTAAACAATGGTACTTACGTCTAAAATTTTTAAAACATCACTTACTTTAAAATAATTGAACTCTAAAGCAAACAAATAAGATACTTGTAAGCAAATCCAGGCCTAATATTTGCAAGGTCCACAGCCAAAGTATAAATGAAAGCCCATAGTATATCTCTAAAAATGTAAAAATTATAAAACAATCTGTTAAATAAAATGTTTAATTCATGTATCTTGATGAAAATTTTAAAATATGAATAAAAGTATGATTTTTTTTTTTTTTTTTTTAGACAGAGTCTCACTGTCACCCAGGCTGGAGTACAGTCGTGCAATCATGGCTCACTGTGGCCTTGACCTCCTGGGCTCAAGGGATCCTCCCACCTCAGCCTCCTGAGTAGCTGGGACCAGAGGTACATGCCAATCATACCTGGTTAAGTTGTTGTGGTTGGTGTGTGTTTGTCTTTTGTAGAGACAGAATTTTGTTATGCTGCCCATGCTTGAACTCCTGGCCTCAAGCAATCCTCCTACCCTGACCTCCCAAAGTGCTGGGATTATAGGTGTGAGCCACCATGCCTAACCTAAAGTTATGATTTTTGTATGACTAAAAGTTGACAGAATATCAAAGACAACTGAATTTAAGCATTATTGCACATGTCTGGATATAATGTTGATGAGCCAGCAGTGTCTAGATAAAAAATAAGATGAAGACATATATAATTTTTAAATTACAATATAGTCCATACAATTTATCTTTCTACCTTAATTTTATCATATCACTAATCAGGTTATTAACAAGCTTTTCTCAAAATTTGTATCATATTGCCAGTAAGTATGCAAAGGATTAAAAATAAATTCAATTTATTTAGACCATAAAAAATGTTTAATAATAACATATTGGATACTTGAAAATTGCCAAGACAATAGATTTTAAAAGTTCTCATCACAAAAATATGGTAAGGATGTAAGGTGATGGATATGTTAATTAGCTTGATTTAATCATTCCACATGTATACATATATCAAAACATCATGTGTACACTATAAATACATGTAATTTTCATGTCAATTAAAAAATAAACATTGACATAAGAAAGAAGTGTATAAAATTTAAAGATCACCAAAATTTATATTAAATGTGAAAAATTAAAAATTAAAAGTTTCATATTGGTTTTCAAATGTTATCTTCTTTTTTCTATTTTGAGACAGAGTCTCACTCTGTCATCCAGGCTGCAGTGCAGTGGTGCAATCTCAGCTCACGGCAACCTCTGCCTCCCAGGTTCAAGCAATTCTCATGCGTCAGCCTCCCAAGCAGCTGGGACTACAGGTGGCGCCACCACACACCAGCTAAATACAAAAATTTGTATTTTTTGTAGAGACAAGGTTTCACCACGTTGGCCAGGCTGGTCTTGAACTCCTGGGCTCTGCCTCGGCCTTCTTTTTTTTGAGAAAACATTGATGTAATTTTCTTTTTTTCCTTTTTGAGTTCCAACCCCAAAAATATTCCAGGAAAAGATAGGGGGAGGCTGGGCTGGTTCTTCTTCAATGGGCTTTTGCCGTCAAGGAAAACAGTGGACTTGCCCCACATCCAGGCTACCCCCAGCCCACTTCTCCCCTGCTTAGCCCAGGGGGGTGGGAAGAGGAGGTGCAGGGCGGGGAGACAGTAGAGGTGGCAGGGGTAGCCGGGAGGGAGGGGCCAGGGCAGTGATGCTTTTGGGTAAGAAGTTGGGCTGAGGCTGGGGGGACTGGGGAAGAGCTGCCCATCTACAGTTACCATTGCTCAGTGACAGAGCCTCAAAGCTTGGCCAGAGCTAAAGGTACCACATGGGTATGTGTGAAGCAGGCTAAGCGGGATGGCTGCAGCCAAGGAGCTGGGGGAGGGCAGGGCTGTTGATCTGCCAAGGTCGTCTGTAGCATGTCATGCCAGCCTGGGAGGCCCCTCTGTTGCTGCCCTGATATGCTTTTCTTCCTGCAGCTGGCTGTCTGTGAATTCCCTCTTATGCTCCTGCGCTTTCTTCATAAACCAGTTGGCATCACCACGGTAGTGCCCATCATTCTTGGTCACTGCCAAGCTGCCCAAAGCCATCAGGGTCCTCTGAACTGCTGCCATGTCTTTGCCTTCAAAGAGGTCAACAGTCTGGAACATGTCAGTCTTGGTGACCCCATAGTCCTCAGCTGCCTTCAGGAACTGAGCCACCTGCCCCATCTGCTTGAAGACCATGGAGGGCAGGTTCTCGGGCAGGTTCACTGGCGTGGAGCCATCAGGGTACAGGCTGTTTACCAGCTTGCTCAGAATCACACCATTTTTTTTATTATTATTATACTTTAAGTTCTAGGGTACATGTGCATAACGTGCAGGTTTGTTGCATATGTATACATGTGCCATGTTGGTGTGCTGTACCCATTAAATCATCATTTACATTAGGTATATCTCCTAATGCTATCCCTCTCCCCTCCCCCTCCCCACAATAGGACCCGGTGTGTGATGTTCCCCTTCCTGTATCCAAGTGATCTCATTGTTCACTTCCCACCTATGGGAGAGAACATGCGGTATTTGGTTTTCTGTTCTTGCGATAGTTTGCTGAGAATGATGGTTTCCAGTTGCATCCATGTCCCTACAAAGGACACGAACTCATCCTTTTTTATGGCTGCATAATATTCCATGGTGTATATGTGCCACATTTTCTTAATCCATTCTGTCACTCATGGACATTTGGGTTGATTCCAAGTCTTTGCTATTGTGAATAGTGCCGCGATAAACATACGTGTGCATGTGTCTTTATAGCAGCATGACTTATAATCCTTTGGGTATATCCCCAGTAATGGGACGGCTGGGTCAAATGGTATTTCTAGTTCTAGATCCTTGAGGAATCGCCACACTGTTTTCCACAATGGTTGAACTAGTTTACAGTCCCACCAACAGCGTAAAAGTGTTTCTCCACATCCTCTCTAGCACCTGTTGTTTCCTGATTTTTTAATGATTGCCATTCTAACTGGTGTGAGATGGTATCTCATTGCAGTTTTGACTTGCATTTCTCTGATGGCAAGTGATGATGAGCATTTTTTCATGTGTCTGTTGGCTGTATGAATGTCTTCTTTTGAGAAGTGTCTGTTCATATCCTTTGCCCACTTTTTGATGGGGTTGTTTGTTTTTTTCTTATAAATTTGTTTGAGTTCTTTGTAGGTTCTGGATATTAGCCCTTTGTCAGATGAGTAGATTGCAAAAATTTTCTCCCATTCTGTAGGTTGCCTGTTCACTCTGATGGTAGTTTCTTTTGCTGAATCACACCATTCTTTAGCCAGAGTTGGAAGCCCAGGCGCCCACGGTCTGGGCAGCCCACATCAGGGCCATACTGCACTATGATCCACTCCACCAGCCGTTCCTCCAGTCCCTCGTCGTACTTCTTCTCAATTCTGGACTGAGCTTCCCAGCTCATGCCATAGGAAGGACCCTTATTGGCCATGTCTGGGGAGAGAGGGCTTCCTCGAGCCTCAGGAAGGAGTGAAGACTTTGTCTGGGCTTGGACAGACCTTTTTTTTTTTTTTTAAGAGATGGGGTCTCACTATGTTACCCAAGTTGGACTTAAAACTCCTGGGCTCAAGTGATCCTTTCACCTTAGCCTCCCGAGTAGCTAGGACTACAGATATGTGCCACTGTGCCCAGCTATCATATGTTATCTTTTTTCTAAAATATTCAAAATTATCTATAAAAACTCAAAGACAAAATACAAATTATAATTAACAATTACCAAATGTTAAGTACATTTATTATAATAAAGTTTAAACTTTAATGTGATTTTTTAAAAAGCTAAGTCCTATTATGTATTTTTACGAATACAGAACTACTCACAATTCTAGAGTTCAAGGCTCATCTACGGCCAATGTCCACAATATCAGGACCTTCACACATAAAATTTAAGAGTAATATGAATTGTTTAACATTGCAAAATATTCTTCAACTGCCATGAGCCACTGTTACAAATATCATCCTAATTTATATCTCCAGAACCACATACTGGAATACAAAGAGAAACAAGAAAATGGATGCTCAGCAGCCCTGCAAAATGTTACTTCAATGTGCAAGAATCTACTGCGTTTGTGCTAATTTGTCTTTTCCCTCACCTAAGAACTTATGTCACTCAAATCCTCCCCATACTCCAAAGCAGTGTCCATAACCAGCATCAACAGCCCATAACCTTCATGACATTCACACAGAATCACTTTTTGCTTCAATGGCACACGGCAAGAGATGGAGGAAAGTGTTATCTGGAGCCTGAATGGTGTTAGGTCACTACAGTGGACATTTGGATTACAAATTGTACTATGCCACTTAGTGCTGGATCTTAAATGACACTTATATTTTGAACATTTGTGATATATGCGTCCTTTAAGTAAGATCCAAAGCAGGGGCCCCTGTTGCCCAGGTCTTAAGGTGATACTCTAAACTTTAGTGAATATTTCACCCAGGATCTACTGAAATCTAAGAAAAAAAAAAAAAAATTCGAGCAGACTGATAACAGCTTTTCTTTTTAAAATGTATATAATGAGAGAGCTGGTAACAAAGTCAGAAGAGTTCTTGACAGAAGTAAAGATGGCTGTAGTGGGGGAGAAAAGAAAACAGGAAACCTTTCTCTACCAAGTTTCTGCAATAATTGACTAATTATAACATGGATGACTGGGAGTTTAGAACCTACTACTTGTATTTTTCAATCTTAACTTTCCCTAATATGGTAAAAACCTGGGTTCAGAAAATCATCTCGTGTCTTAATTCAAGCTTATAAAGGTATATCAGATTAAAGGCAATAAAACATATTTTATAACTAAAAATAAAACACAATATAATGAGAGAGCAGAAACCAATGTTACAAGGGCTCTGGAGAGGTAAGAAAAGTCAGATACTCAGTTCTTTCTTTGGATACTTTTATCAACCAAACTGCCTGCTGTATAAGATTACTGGCCTATAAATTAACTTTTGCAATTAAAGCAGAGAATTTTAACTTGAGGCAAACAAAACCCTATTGTTCACCAAGTTTTATCACCAACGATTACAGGACAGAGAGATCTATATCCAACACTGTATGCTTTAAAAGAAACAAAACTTGTTTTTCAATTATGGAAGTAATATATGTTCATTATAAAAAACTTTAAAAACTACAAAAATATAAAATGGTATAAAGTATGAAAGTCACCCATAATCCTAACTCTAAACTATTAACATTGTTATATTTCCCTTATTGTGTATGCTGCCTTGCCTATTTGAGATCATACTGTGAACCATGATTTTATACCATTCATTTTTCATTTAACTTTACATCACAAACATTTCTCATATTATTTTATTATTCCTAAATATCATTTGCAAAGGCTGCATAAGTCATATGCAGACTTATACTCTAATTTGCTTAACCATTCCCCTAATGTTGGAGGTTTAGGTTGATCTTTGGTTTCTTACTACTCTAATAACATTGTGATGAATATCTTTATTTATAAATCTTTATCTGCATTTCCTAATATTTCCTTAGGGTAGAACTAGACTATGGAAACCAAGAAAATAAGTATTTTTTAAATACCTTGAATGTTTGTCACCAGTTTTATCTAATAAGGTATTCTACATTATATGTCCACCAATAATGTATAAAGTGCCCTTTTCACCCTCCATCATCAGTGTATCAGGTATTCATGACTTTTTTCCAGTATTTGATAATCTGATAAATGAAAATAATTCATTGCTGTTTTGTTTTCTATTTCTCTACTAGTGAAACAGAACCTTTTTTTGCAAATATTTGTTAGTCTTTATTTGCTCTTCTGTTAATTGTCCATACATACTAATAGATACTAATATCTATTTTCTTGGTGATTCATATATATGCTTCATAAAGAAAAATATTGTCTTTTGCATCATATTTATTGTGATTACTTCCATTTTTGTGTCTTAACTTACATATTGAGTTTTTTCAAGAAAGTTAAAAAATTTTTAAATAGGCATCTCAAGTTTTCCCCTTGTATTTTCTTCTTTTGATTTTAAGCTTATTCATTCATTCATTCATTCAACAAATATTCACCAAAGACTTGCTATGTGCCAGAAACTATGCAGTAACACTAAAGACACAACAGTAGATAAGACATATTTCTTGCCTTCAAAGAGTTTCTATTTGGCCAGGCAAGGTGGCTCACACCTGCAATGCCAGTGCCTCAGGAGACCAGTTCGGGAGGACTGCTCGAGACCAAGAGTTTGAGACCAGCCTGGCCAACATGGCAAGAACCTCCCTCCATAAATAAAAAATTTAAAATTAAATAGGCAAGGTGGTGCATGCCAGTAGTCCCAGCTACTCAGGAGGCTGAGGCAGGAGGATCGCTTGACCCCAAAAGTGCAGTGGCATGATCTTGGCTCACTGCAACCTCCGCCTCCTGGGTTCAAGTGATTCTCCTGCCTCAGCCTCTCGAGTAGCTGGTAGTATAGGCACATACTACCATACGTGGCTAATATTTGCAATTTTTAGTAGAGACGAACTTTCACCATGTTGGTCAGGTTGGTCTCAAACTTGGGACCTCAGGTGATCTGCCCTCCTCAGCCTCCCAAAGTGCTGGGATTACAGGCATCAGCCACCTATTTTCTATATTTTCTTGTATTGTCTACTAAAATATTTTTAAGTCTGTCTTCTCAAATTCTTTTGCCTGGAATTTATTGTAGTATACACTACAAAACTAAATTAATATTTTTTCTAAGCAGCTAGTTAACTATTCTGGCAATATTTACTTAATAATTCATTCCTTCCCCAGAAATCCTTACTGCTGGCGGGGAATGGTGGCTCACGCCTGTAATCCCAGCATTTTGAGAGGCCGAGGCGGGCAGATCACTTGAGGCCAGGAGTTCGAGACCAGCCTGGGCAGTATGACAAAACCCCATCTCTACAAAAAATACAAAAATTAGCTGGGTATGGTAGCACATACCTGTAGTCCCAGCTACTCGGGAGGCTGAGGCAGGAGAACTGCTTGAACCCGGGAGACGGAGGTTGCAGTGAGCCAAGATCATGCTATTGCACTCCAGCCTGAGTGACAGAGTGAGACCCAATCTCAAAAAAAAAAAAAAAAAGCAATCCTCACTGCTTTCAGATATTAACATGTTATATATACCAGGGTCTATTTCTGTCTATTCCATTCCTTGATCTGTCTGCTAATTCTTGGCCCAGCATTACATTGATTTAATTATTCACACTTTATAATATTTTAAAATATTTGGTGTTGTTAGTCATGCTTTTCATTTTAATTATTCCATTTTTCAAAGCTATTTGCACTTACAAATCTTTTATAAGTAATTTTTTATAACCCCTCTTGGGATTTTCATTGGAATTGAATTATAAATACAATTTAACTTGGGAAGAAACAAAACCTTTATAATATTCAGTCTTTCCATCTAAACATTCCTTTTTTCCATTTCATCTTTCTTGAAGGCATTAATGTATTCCTGGTGATTCCAGAGAAATCAGAAGTATTAATTAGTAGGCTTCCATTTATATATATACCGTAGTTCCTAAGCACACCCAACCTTGATGACAAAGCAGTGTCTTTGAAAAGGAAAACAAATAAATGGACATTGTGTTAGCCCCTCATCATTTGTTTACACCAGATTATAACAACTTTCTATGTGTACCTAGGTGAGCAAAAATGTTAACAAGAGTGGACCTTCCATCTCAGAACACAGATTTACACCAAACATCCCCTTACAAGTTTTTTAAAAAACGACTCTGGTTTTGTCATTTCTTAATTTTCCACTCATTACAGACTTTCTTTGGAATAATAAACAATAAATTCTGTTATTAACTCAAATTACATGTTTCTACTAAGGGAAATTCTAAACAATAACAACAACAGTAACAACTACTAACTATTGAATATCTACTATGTTCTATCATTAATCTTCAAAATAATCCTGCAGGATAGGTGGCTATATTCACCTCACAGGAAAGGAATCAAAAGCTTAGAAAGCAGAGGAGTAAATCCTTTCCTGCTCTGCGTTCAGCCACCCCCGCAATGCTTTAGGCTCCTTTTTTTTATTTGCAACACTTTGGGAAGTTTTTTTGTTTTTTGTTTTTTGTTTTTTTTTGAGATGGAGTCTGGCTCTGTTGCCCAGGCTGGAGTGCAGTGGCCGGATCTCAGCTCACTGCAAGCTCCGCCTCCCGGGTTTACGCCATTCTCCTGCCTCAGCCTCCGGAGTAGCTGGGACTACAGGCGCCCGCCACCTCGCCCGGCTAGTTTTTTTGTATTTTTTAGTAGAGACGGGGTTTCACCGTGTTCGCCAGGATGGTCTGGATCTCCTGACCTCGTGATCCGCCCGTCTCGGCCTCCCAAAGTGCTGGGATTACAGGCTTGAGCCACCGCGCCCGGCTTTGGGAAGTTATTAAAGGAAGATCTATTACTTCCTCCTTTTGGGGCAGAACTGGATGGCAAAAAATAAAATTAAATTAAAATTAAAAAGGTTAGAGAGAAGCTCAAGATCACCCAGTTAGGTAATGCTGAAGAATCCAAATTCAGACCTAGCTCTCTCCCACTCAAGCTGACTCTCAAAATCT